AATTCGCGACTGTAAGCTGCCGGTTTCGTTCTCTTGGAGCCTTGCATGACGTGCCGTAGTAGTGTTGTGCTGTCTGTTCCCTCTGTTCAAAGCTTCTACGGTGACCTTTGCTGACTGGTATGTTCTTGCTATTCTTGTGTATCTTCAGCAGTCTTCGCCGCGTTGCTCCGCTTCCAGTTGCCGAAAGGCGTGAAGCCTGTTGTAATTGTCAATTTTTCGCAGTCGGCCACAATTGTCCAAAAACCTGAGCGACCCTTGGCATCCGGGCGACGACTGAGCCGGCATAATGTTCGATTACGGGAAATCATGAGAGGTAGGTGTCTCTTGCGGAAGACCTCGTCATGGCCGCCAATCCTCATGCATTTTTCATCCGGACCTGGGACCGGCATCAACGAAGCTTTCGGTTGAGTTTATTGAGAATTAAATTTGCAGGTGACACTTGTGCTTGTTTAGATCTGACCTTGCAGAAGCGGAACGTCTGAAGTTTGGATATCAACTGTATTCTGAGCTTTAAAACTTTATAGCTGTAAAACGCCAGTTGCTGAACTGCACAAAAAATATGCCTCTCCGGAAGTAAATTTGCCCTTACATTGTTCCTCGTGTTGCATGCTGGGTTTCAAGTCGACGCCTTCTGTGTTTCGACTCCCAACACGAGAAACTCCTGGATATGAGTAAACGGTTTACGCAATCAGCTTTAGTCGACCTCCTTTTCATAACTATCACATCTACTGATATCACCAATGGTAAGAAGGGAAGAGAGTAATTCCTTACACGATTCTGTTTTTTAAACTTCATTGAGCGTCTAAGTCAACGTTGATGTATGCAGTCCAGCCGTCGCTTTTGCTCCTACGTACAGCACAATGACATGGAAGACTTGTGGAAAGCTCTTTTCTCAGCTCAAGTACTGGACAGGTTACCAGAAGCACTAAAGTCGAGGGCGATCCTCCCATTACGATTAGGCTAGATGGTGCCGTCGTTGGAAATGATGGAACAGCGACGCTGAAATTCGTCAGCTTTCTGAAGTGCTTTACCTCCCTGTTTGATTTCTAGAGCAGTCATGCCAAATGGATTCCTCTTAACTTTTGACTTTTTGGAGTTAAGGAAGAGGCAGAATTTTAAAGCTGCATTACCCATGGAAGACCAGATCAGTTCACAGAGACCTTTTCCCACAGTACTCGCAAGTACAGTTTCGTCTGCTTACGCCAGGTCAGCATGATATCTAGCCGGATGTTTTTAACTGCGCCAGAAAATGGAGAAAAATGTTTAATAGCGAAGGTGAAAGCACATCTAACTGGGAAATTTTACCTTCAATAGAACAGTCTATGACGCTTTGGCGCAGATCGCTTGTCGATGTCAGCGCTCGGTCCTGCGGTTGCCGCACTGACTCTGTACAAGTGGACAGTGGTCAGTTGCATAGGCTATGTGATTCAGCCCCTCATGCTACGCACCAGTTGGTGGCTCTGTGATATTTTTATTTTATTTGATGATTCCATCGTGGCGACGGCGCGTAGTCAGTAAGTCAAAACGCAGTCACTTAATCAGAAGGCAGAGTTTATATGATTGTAGGTGGTCGTTTGTATCAAATACCTCATTTAATCCCTCGCATTTTGCATCATGAGATCATGCACGTTAAGCACTCCGTGAGATGAAAGTGAAACCTTCGTCATTACTATCAGTTTTTAAGCTAGCATTGTCGTTCTACGATTTTGGACAGCCAGATCATCCTCCTCCTCCGAAATGAAAAGAAGAACAGCGAAATTATCCTGAAGGACAAGTCTGAATGCCCTCTTACCAAAAATTGGGGCATATTCTGGCAACGGAGACTGTCTAGAGGAACTTCTTGGTCCTGAGCAAAGGCAGGGTGATTCGCCTAAATAGTATCAGAGCGCAGATATTAATCTTCTTGTCTAATGATGAACGAATGCTGAAAACAGCTTGAAAAGTGGCAAGGCATTTAATACCTGATGAAATCCGCCCTGAGATGTTTATAGCTTTAGAAGAATCGAGTGTAGCTAACACGTGTGTGCCAAAATGCAAGAACTACGGGTAAGATACCAGTGGGCTGGAGAACTGGGGTATTTGTACCCCTGTTCAAAAAGCGAGACCGTAGGAATTGCTCCAATTATCGCGCCATTACCTGATTGAACCTGCCAGAAAAAGACCACTCAAAAGTGTTGCGGAATAACAGTCTCTACAATCCAAGGAAAAGTTTGACTTCATGTCAGGCAGAAGTATCTCTTACAAGATATTCGCCTTACGCCAGAATGTTGAGAAATTGTTGTATTTCGCTCATCCCGTTTGAATGTGCTTTGTAGACCTAGAGAAAGCCGAAGACATCTTCCCACATAACAATCTGTGGGCATGCGTGCGAACATATGGAATCAATGGCTAGTTGCTACCGGTCATCCAATCACTGT